AATGCGGAGTTTTGCGCATCATGTGTGTGTGTGTGTGTGTGTGCGCGTGCGTGTGTGTGCGCGCGTGTGTGAGCATGTGTGTGTGTGTGTGTGTGTTTGTGTATGTTTACCTCGACACTCGGTTCTGGTGGCTGTGCTCTGGAATCCGGTGGGACACTGGCAGTAATAGGATCCGGGTGTGTTCACACAGTCTCCGTTCACACAGGGGCTCCGCTCACACTCACACTGTAAACCACGGCTTCACGGGGCTTATTGCTTTATTTTAATTTAACTTGATGTACTAAAATAACAAAAAAAAACACACAAAAAAAATAAAAAACTACTAACAATTTAATTAAAATTTAAATGAAAACAGAAAATATAGAAATAAAAACTGATTCAAATTATTAATAAAAACTATAATAGTATCTCACACAATCAATGCGGAGTTTTGCGCATCATGTGTGTGTGTGTGTGTGTGTGCGCGCGCGTGTGTGTGCGCGCGTGTGTGAGCATGTGTGTGTGTGTGTGTGTGTTTGTGTATGTTTACCTCGACACTCGGTTCTGGTGGCTGTGCTCTGGAATCCGGTGGGACACTGGCAGTAATAGGATCCGGGTGTGTTCACACAGTCTCCGTTCACACAGGGGCTCCGCTCACACTCGTTCGCATCTAAACACACACACAACACGTGATCAAACGCTCGCCGCAGACGCCTTCCACACGTCTGATATCAGGCGACGCACTGACCGATGCATTCACCGCGGCCGTCCAGCCGGTAGCCCATGTTGCACTCGCAGCGGTAGCTGCCTGGCGTCGGCACGCAGCGGCCGTTGATGCACAGGTTACGAAACGTCTCGCACATGTTCCTGATGCTGAAGTTCTGAGGCAGGATGACTGAGAGAGAGACGGGAAAAAAATCAGAGACATTTGTCAAACTAGCCGAGTTTGATCAGCCTCTCAAATCCTCGAAACCAGCGGCTCTAGAAAAACCTGGATATATGAGGCAGGGTTTTTATAGTTAACTAAAATGAAAACTAAAATGACAAACATAAAAAAAAACAAAAAAACATTTTGGTTACTTGAAATAAAATACACATCAACTGAAATGAAATTAAATGAAAAAATAAAATAATTTTATTTATAAATTTATTTCAGCTAGTTGCCAAGACAAAAGTTTTCATTATAAAACAGATAGTTCCGGTGCTTGATTCTGATTGGCTGAGCCGCGTTCGAAGCTGTTGTAAATTACTCTACAAAGTAACATACACCTTTGTTTATGTTTGTCTGTTGCTCGGCAACCACTTTGTTCACGGGGCTTATTGCTTTATTTTAATTTAACTTGATGTACTAAAATAACAAAAAAAAACACACAAAAAAAATAAAAAACTACTAACAATTTAATTAAAATTTAAATGAAAACAGAAAAAATAGAAATAAAAACTGATTCAAATTATTAATAAAAACTATAATAGTATCTCACACAATCTGATACTGAAATAACACTGATATGAGGAAGCCTCTTTTTTTTTTTTAAAGTGTGATTTCTAGACATGGAAACATCATTGAGTAGTGTGCGGGATTTATGCATTTTTAGAGAGTAAAAAATATTTTTTAAAACCCTTAAGCTTTATATTTAGCCAGTGAATCAAGAACAACTGAAAAAAGTCATGAATTCTGTGGTTAAAAAGAGCAGGAGCCCTGAAGAACATTCAGCTTCTGGAAACCTGTGGAAACCTAAAATCGTATTATTCGAATTTGAATTATTTTAGGAAACATGTTAGCCTTTGAATATTATGGAGGTTGAGAATCACAGATCAAACACATTTAAATGTGGGGTAAGTGATTTCTGGTAGCCAATGTTGATATTTGAAATCACCAAAACAAACACGCCCCTACCCCAAAAGGGTCTCGCCCCTATCTTGATAGCTCCGCCCCACACATACGTACGCAACCCAGGCAACGATTAGTTCTGTGAAACAAAACAAAACCAATGTTACACCGTGTCTACACCGGACGCGAGTGGCGCGGCGCGACAAAATACTATAGAACTCATTATAATCAGTGATGCTGTCTACACCATAGATATATATATATATACACATATCTATGGTCTACACTGGATGCGGCGCGGCACGACACGACAAATCCCCGACAGAAAACTGCTGCTGCGTTCTATTCATGACGTATTTACTCACCTATTGAGAAGAAACAAAGCAACCTCGGCGTCCGATCGCAGGCCTTCCGCTCCTTGAGTTCTCTCCAGCGCTGGAAAGCTGATCCGATATTTACATGGGTCCTACTTCTTGCCTTAAACCTTCTTTTGTTCTGCAGACGTTTTCCTCTTTTGTTTTTTATCCACCATCTCTATCTTTCTGTCGCTCGGCTCGGCTAATGTCCGTCCTTTGCACTGAACGCTCTCTCCTCCACATCATGAGTAGACACGCCCCTTTTACTGCTGATTGGCTACAAGTTTGTTTTGCTAGTCGGCCCAAATCAGTTTTCTAAAGCATTTTTGAAAAATCGCTTACCCCACCTTTAAGACCCTGAAGCCCAAAACCAGTCATAATTTTCTGAAATTGAGATTTATACACCATCTCAAAGCTGAATAAATAATCTTTCCATTGATGTATGGTTTGTTAGGATAGCACAATATTTGGCTGAGATACAACTATTTGAAAATCTGGAATCTGAGGGTGCAAAAAAAATCTAAATATTGAGAAAATAATCTTTAAAGTTGTTCAAATGAAGTTCTTAGCAATGCATATTACTAATCAAACATTAAGTTTTGATATATTTACGGTTGGAAATGTACAAAATATCTTCATGGAACATGATCTTTACTTAATATCCTAATGATTTTTGGCATAAAAGAAAAATCTATAATTTTGACCCATACAATGTATTTTTGGCTATTGCTACAAATATACCCCAGCGACTTAACACTGCTTTTGTGCTGCAGTGTTTTCAACACTCTCAGCTCTTTCGTCAGATCTGCCTGACATTCGGAACAGATGATTCTGACACAAAGCCAGTAAGAAGTTACTCAAGTGTTCTTGATATGAACGGTTTCATATAGCACTCAACACATTCACAAATTGACAGCAAGGAAGTAAACAGGAAGTGAGGCGTGTCTTTTCAATGCCAAGCCCTTCAGAGGTGTTTTAGGTGTGTTTGTGTGCATTACCAGGTCTGATGGTGAATGAGGGAAGGTCAACAGATATGGGATCTCGTGGGACATCGGGAAAATCCGGACCAGGACCCGGGCGAGGAATAATACCAGGAACCGGAAAAGGAATCGGACCTGGACCCGGAATGGGAATCGGACCCAGATCTGGTCGGTCTGGATCAGGAACCGTGTAACTATACAGACAGAGTCTCTGATACTCCTCTGAGTTGGGAGAGAGAGAGAGTTTCAAATTCACATTCAATTATTATTCAGTTCAATTTCTGTACCATAATACCATCTTTTATATTGCTTGTTCAAAATACTATTTCAAATGTCCAGCTGTTCTAAACTATTTTCTATGTCGTTGAAATAGAAAACAGAAATAAAGTTACTAATAAAGCTCATCCACACCTGTTCCGCGGATGGGACACATCTCTGGGACGGCGGATCCGGACCAGCATCCTCGGTTCTCGCAGCAGCACTGACTCTTGGACATGCGCTGCGGCAGCGGGTTAGCACAGCGTCCGTTCACGATGCTAGCGTAGCAGAAGCCCGTCCGAGCATCTGGAGCAGGGCACACAAACACAGCGTCACTGCACTTATCTAACACAATCTAATGCAGTCACAAATCCAATCCAATCAGAGTTATATTAAAAATATCCTTCCAAGCTTTATAATGGCAGTGAATGGGTGTTTCTGTTCAACAGTCCAAAAGAAGTCCAATAAAGCGCATCCATCCATAATAAAAAGTGCCTCACACGGCTCCGTGGGGTGAATAAAGACCTCCTGAAGTGAATCGATGCATTTTTGTTTTAAACTTTATAAACCGTAATGTCGTATGCGCGTTCATTCCGGCGGATGATGTAAGCTCCAGTGAGAATATGCTAGTCTCGCGAGGACCGCCGTTTGTTTACAGGAGCAAAGGAAGCAAAGTTTCCGTACTTTAGCAAAGGAAAACCTGTCTCCTCTTGGCTTATATCGGAATACTCCCAGATTTTCTTTACAAATCCTCGTTTTGTACTTCTAATTCATGACCAGTGTTTCGTTTTGCGGCGTCCTACGTCATCCGCCGGAATGAACGCGCGTACGACAGTTAGCGTAAGCTAGAGATTACGGTTTATAAAGTTTTAAATATGGATATGTTTCTTACAAAATCGCATTGATTCACTTCAGGAGGCCTTTATTCACCCCCCGGAGCCGTGTGAGGCACTTTTTATGATGGATGGATGCACTTTATTGGACTTCTTTTGGACTATTGAAAAATAACACCCATTCACTGCCATTATAAAGCTTGGAAGAGCCAGGACATTTTTTAATATAACTCTGATTGGATTCATCTGAAAGAAGTAAGTCATACACACCACAGATGGCTTGAGGGTGAGTAAGTTTCATTTTTGGGTGAACTATCCCTTTAAAAACTCACATCTGATTGGCTAAAGAGAACATCTGTTTGAAACACCCTCATTAATGAATCTGTGATTCACAAACACACGTCCACCCAGCTAACAGAAAACATTCTCAGAATGTTCTGGAAAGCTTGTGAACAAACGTTCTCCCAGTAACACTCACAGAACGTTCGTTCAGAGTTATCTGGCCTTTAATAATTTTCTCAAAACATTATTTATACATTATTCACTGAACGGTTTTCTCCTGAACTTTTGTCTACTGTTTTTCAAACATCACTACTTGTTTCAGAACGTTCAGAGAACATTCAAAAGTAGCGTCCCCGTAACGTTTGTAAAATGATACAATGGAATGTTCCCTTAACATTCTCTTAAAAATGTCTTTAAAACATTTAAAAACTGGATGTTTTGAATGTTCATAGAACTTTCAGAAATAATGTTTTTATAATTTAATTGGAACACTAGCAAAACGTTCTAAGAGCATGTTTTTTATTAGCTGGGTGCACGCGTGTGTCACCTCACATTGTGTACGTGGCGACACACACACACACACACACACACACTCGCAGTGTGACGGCACAGTCTGTGTAATGACAGAGCATCTCCAGCTGCAGGAGTAACGCGAGGGAGCGAGCAGAGCTCGATGATGGAGGAGAAGAGAGGGATGTTTGGCTCAGGAAACGTTTGGAGTGGATCGAGTCATAGCGCACATTCCTTCCACACAAACACAGCCAACACACATCAGCTGAAGACCACTGACCCACTTACACACACACAGACACACACACACTCACTCACTCACTCACTACCCCTCACAGGAAACTTTGTGCTATTTCAGATTTTCAATACACTCCATTCTGTGTGATTTATATGCGTTTTGAAAAGTGGGGACATGGGGTAATGTCCTGAAAAGTCACCTTCTCCTTGTAATACCTATGTCATACCTTTGTCATTACATAAATTTATGTCCTCATTTGTCACAAAAACGCGCACACACACTCATACACACACACACACAAAAGAAGTAACAAACTCATAAAAAATGCAAATGCATTTCAGATTTTTTCATAAGAGCATGAATTCTCACACTGCCTATTCAAATGTACTATGATTCTCAAAATACACAGGGTGGCGATCGCTCATGTTGTATTTAGACAGAAATCTGAAGCCTGTTGTTGCGCAATGTGACGTTTATACCGGTTTGCTTCTCCCCAGATTCTGAATGCACAAATCAGTATTAGTAATTGAGATTGACAGAATCGACTGACCAATCACAAGTACCGGAAGAGTGAAAGTAAAAATGTGGAAAAAAAGGAAAAAGAACCTACAACACTTACCTGTTTGCGACACTATTATCACCTGTCAGAAGTGTAAAGAGTACCTAAAAACCATACTTGAGTAAAAGTACAGATACCTTACAGTGAAAATTACTCCACTACACGTTACAAGTCACCAATTCCAAAACAACTTGAGTAAAAGTCTTAGAGTATCTGATTTTAACAGTACTTAAGTATTTTACTTATACTAAATATAGGCTCAAAAAATGCACTAGTCAAAGAGACATGCCAGTCAAAAACTGTAACGTTGTGGAGAAGCTGCAGAAAACAGGCAGAGGCAAGGATCTATGTGCAGGTATTTAATGGAAAAACTAGAACAAACAATAAAGCAAAAAACAAAGAACAGAATGACTGGCAAACAGACAACCATTACATTCAACAACTCGCAAGGAACTAAAGAAAAACTAGGGCTAACTTATATACACACAGGGGGCTAACAAGCTTAACAAGATAAGACACACCTGGGGAGACTAATCAAGGGGAACCAATGAACAAACGGACTACAAACACCACGGGAGACAGGAAGTGACCTAAAAGTCCAGGGCAAGGCACAGAGAATATGAAACAAAAACAAGAAAAGAGTTGATTTGTGATATTTTCTAAAACCAAACGTTTATTTTCTAAAACCAAAATAAAACTGAACACCTCAAAATTACAAAACAAAACAAACAAACAA